GCGGGTGTGGGGCTAGCACGTGTCCTGTCGTGTGTGCTGGTGGGGGGCCAGCACACGGCCTGTCGTGTGTGCTGGGGTGGGGTCAGCGTGAGTCCTGTCATGTGTGCGGGTGTGGGGCTAGCACGTGTCCTGTCGTGTGTGCTGGTGGGGGGCCAGCACACGGCCTGTCGTGTGTGCTGGGGTGGGGTCAGCGTGAGTCCTGTCATGTGTGCGGGTGTGGGGCTAGCACGTGTCCTGTCGTGTGTGCTGGTGGGGGGCCAGCACACGGCCTGTCGTGTGTGCTGGGGTGGGGTCAGCGTGAGTCCTGTCATGTGTGCGGGTGTGGGGCTAGCACGTGTCCTGTCGTGTGTGCTGGTGGGGGGCCAGCACACGGCCTGTCGTGTGTGCTGGGGTGGGGTCAGCGTGAGTCCTGTCATGTGTGCGGGTGTGGGGCTAGCACGTGTCCTGTCGTGTGTGCTGGTGGGGGGCCAGCACACGGCCTGTCGTGTGTGCTGGGGTGGGGTCAGCGTGAGTCCTGTCATGTGTGCGGGTGTGGGGCTAGCACGTGTCCTGTCGTGTGTGCTGGTGGGGGGCCAGCACACGGCCTGTCGTGTGTGCTGGGGTGGGGTCAGCGTGAGTCCTGTCATGTGTGCGGGTGTGGGGCTAGCACGTGTCCTGTCGTGTGTGCTGGTGGGGGGCCAGCACACGGCCTGTCGTGTGTGCTGGGGTGGGGTCAGCGTGAGTCCTGTCATGTGTGCGGGTGTGGGGCTAGCACGTGTCCTGTCGTGTGTGCTGGTGGGGGGCCAGCACACGGCCTGTCGTGTGTGCTGGGGTGGGGTCAGCGTGAGTCCTGTCATGTGTGCGGGTGTGGGGCTAGCACGTGTCCTGTCGTGTGTGCTGGTGGGGGGCCAGCACACGGCCTGTCGTGTGTGCTGGGGTGGGGTGAGCGTGAGTCCTGTCGTGTGTGCTGGGGGGGGGTCAGCGTGAGGCCTGTCGTGTGTGCTGGTGTAGGGTCAGCGTGAGTCCTGTCGTGTGTGCTGGTGTGGGGTCAGCGTGTGTCCTGTCGTGTGTGCTGGTGTGGGGCCAGCACACGGCCTGTCGTGTGCTGGTGTGGGGTCAGCGTGAGTCCTGTCGTGTGTGCTGGTGTGGGGCCAGCGTGAGTCCTGTGGCGTGTGCAGCTGGTGCTGGCACTGTCTGTGACGTGTGAGTGGGATCTTAGGGACATGGTGTTGGAGACGTAGCCTCCGGTGGGCTGACCTGAGGAGGTGTCAGAAAGCTTCGTGTCAGACGCCCCGAGGCTGCCCCTCGCCCTCCGCCCTGTGTGTTAATGACACTGCGTCCGATGACGGAGAGCTGGAGCCAGGACCCGTGAAGCAGGGAGGGATGCACACAGTCAGTCCTCAGGATTCGCAGATACGTGTCCGGGCGTTCGCTGCTCACTCACGTTTGTCTGTGAGCACATCAGCCCTCGGGCCCCTTCCGCGTGGGGCTGGGATCAGACTCGGGGGCGGCCCAGGCGGCCAGCTGAGCTCCAGGGCGGTGACACCGCGTGTCAGCTGTCAGACCGCCATCTGTTTAGCCCACGGTTCTGCCTCTGTGGCGATCGGCCAGCTAACGTGGCCACAGCACCACGTGGGCGCGCTGTCCGGTGTCCCTGAGCACACAGCGGCTGCGAGGGACGAGGCGGCAGGGACAGCGTGTGAGCTGAGCTGGTGGAGACGTCCTGCGGGTGAGTCCTGGCGCCACGCTCTCCTTCAGCGCCACGCGTGACCAGGGGTCCAGAGCGGGGCACCAGAGCGGGACAGGGACTGTAGCCGGCGGACGAGTGGAGGCCACAGGGGCTGGCCTGTCCCCGAGCACTGGCCGGGAGAGCACCACGGCCCAGGGAGGCCTGGCCGGGAGGCCCCCGAACGTCGTTAAGCGACAGAAAACACATTTCTACATGGGATTGCTGGCGTGATTACTTGGGGGTATTGTTCTCCACTGTCCTTAGCCTGGGAGAGGGCAGCCGTGCAGGGACTAAAGACGAATGTGACGCCTCCAGTGACAATGTGCTGCTGTTCATGGGAAGAACTGAAGCCCCCTCTCCAAAACGTGCTTACAAATTCCCACGAAAGAGCTTAAGTCTCGTCCGCACGCTCAGTGGGAGGAGTGTTGCCCGGAGGTGGTGCTGGGGCTCTGTCCAGCTGAGACCCCGCCCCAGCCCTGGTCTCAGGAGGGGGGGCCACACCTGTCCAGCTGAGACCCCGCCCCCAGTGGAAGGCCAGCTGAGACAGGAGCCACGGTGGGGGTCAGGGCCTGGCTGGTGGGGCCCCTGTGTGGAGACTGGGTTTCCTGGTTGGATTAGCACACGAAACACATCCAGGGTTTCTGGAAGGAGGCAGGGTCAGAGGAGCAGGGAGAAATGTGCACGTGTTTCCCCGTAAAGACGCGGCTGGGTTTCTGCTGTCCTGACATCGTCCTCTCGGTCGGCCTCGCCTGACCGATGCCAGCAGGACGTGGGACGATCTGGAATCGTGTGATGCAGGAGTTTGGCCAGTGGCTTATCTCTAATCGCTGCCCTGCATTGGCTGGTGGGGCACCTCCCTGAGACTGGTTTGAACTGGAAACAGAGGGTCTGGTCACCGGGTTGTATCTGAGCAGCTGGACTTGTTCAGAATCGTCCCCCCAAAGGACGGCTGTTCCCCCTGTCAGGGCAGCAGTGGTTGTCGGACTGAGGAACGTGTGTCCCCGACACAAGCAGACATGAGCCCCAGCCCCCAGCGGTGCCGGGTGCCCTGCCCGCTCTGCACCCTGGGCCCAGCCGCTGTGAGACTTACTCCTTGGGCTTTGTAGCCTGGAGTCCACCTCACTCTCCCACCGCTGGGCTCACTGAGACACGCTGCTCCCCGCGCTTCCGCCCGTGAGGACTGCGGGGCTCTCAGAAAAGGCAGTGCCTGCTCGCCCAGCTCCCCCCGGCCGAGCCTGGGAGCAGGCAGGGCGGTGGGAACGTTGGCCCGCGGGCTGTGGGCGGTCCGCAGCGTCAATTCCGTCCGGCCCTGCCGAGCCATTAGGGCGAGTGAATTGTTCGACCACGTGTAGCAGGCGCAGGTCCAAATGTGTAAGTGTGTGGCCCGAGCGGATGTGGTCAGTGCCGGGACGCCCCTCGGCAGAAACCAGGCCCCCACCCCCACCCCGGTGTGGACGAGGCCGGCGGGAGAGGGCCCACCCTCCAGCCCCAGGAGGCTGCACCTGCTGCGCGGGGAGGGGGTGCAGAGAGATGCGGGGGAGTGCCCGGCCTGGGAGAGCGCCCAGCATCCCAGGTTTTTGAAACATGGTTCCCGTTTGGTTTGTGGGAGAGAAGGAACTCCAGGAACTAAAGGAAGCTCAGCCATTAGTGCAAGCAAGCAATGCTGCCCAGACGCCCAGGCGGCGCTGAGGCGGGAAGGAGGGGAGAGCGCGGCCCCCCATCCCCTACGTTCTGAGCCGCCCCCCGGCTAGGACAGACGCCCACTTTCCAAGGGATCACCCGGCAGGGAGGGCGGTCTCTGCCTTGGA